TGATACTGGTGGTAATAACATTGAGGAGGAAGGTGTGATGATGAAGTTGGAAGTCATGATTCTGATAACTCTGATGGTGGTTCTGAAAACAACTAATTTTTGTAGTTCTGTATTTTTTATTTCTTTTGAAGAATTTTGATGATGTTGTTCCTTGTTGGGCTATGCCCTGGATATTGTGGCACTCTCTGTGCTTGGTTTGTACTGACTATTTCTATTTGCTGTTTGATGATGCTAGCTTAATGTTTGTCAAATTGTGGCTAAAAAGGGAGAGTATGGTTGATAGCTAGTTGTTGGCTTGTTTATTTGTTTGTTGTAGTTTCTAGTTTAGTGCTAATTTGTGTTGGTTGATGATGTTGTGTTTCTTGAGGGGGGGGGGGGGGGGGGGGTAGATGTTGCTGTGTGTTTTTGCTTAGTATCTGGTGTTTAAGGGGAGTTTGTTTGTTACTAACATCCTAACTGTGATTTTTTGCTAACTCCCTGACTAAGAATGATCTGTTGATGTCTTACTTAATGTTTTGACATTTGTTTAATAAGTTTTTCTGCTGCGTATGTTTCTGATATAATGTGTTTTCCTGGAAATTTAATCAAAGGAGGTTTTAGACAAAATTTGCCAAAAGGGGAGATTGTAAGTTCTGTGTTTGCTGCATTTTTGCTAAAACATATTGTTGTAGTGTAAAATATCTTGGCATATGAGTCAAACATCTTTGCAGGTTAGTTTTTTAGATGTTGCAGAGCTTCAGTTCATGATGTCAAGACTGATGTCCTAACATGTGATTACAGAGTTGGACAACATTCAGTTCAGAACGTTGTGATTTGTTTGTTACGTTTTGTTTGCAATCCTTCGTGTTTTCCTGATGAGAGATTGCTGGAGAAAATCATGGTGGAGATTTTATTTGAAACAAAAGTATTTTGTTGCATATTTAATGGAGCTAATTGTGAAATATTGTGTGCTATTTTCATGCCTATAATCGTGAGAAGTCTTAAAGAGTTATTTGATTTGATTAAATCTGATTTGGTTTTTGCTAATGCCCAAGCTCATGAAGATCGTTCTCTATATAAAGACTTGACAATCCTAATTGAAGATTAGTGAAGCTAGGGTTCTGTGTGTGTATTGCTTAAGAATTAGGGTTGTATTGTGTTTGTGTGAGTCATTCATTCATCACTTAGATGCTTGAACTAGACTGAGTTTATTGAGTTGTAAGTGTCCACTATAAGCTTTTAAGTACGAGTGTATTATTCTTGATTGAAGCTTTTAAGTAAGATCAAGTATTGTTTTTGAAGTGTGTCTTCTTTTGTTTAATGTTAAGTCTTATCACTACTATTGTGATTGAAGAGAAGTGAGAGAGGTCTCACATCTAGGAGAGTCCTAGGTAGAAATTGCACGGGTAGAGATTAGGTGAGAAAATTGTAAACCAGATGTTGTTTGCTGAGAATCTTCAAACTAATTATGTTTTAGTTAATTTCCTTCCTGCCTTGATAACCCTCAAACGTAAGTGACGTTGCATCGGACTAGGTTAACAATTGTTTATGATTGTTTACTGCTTTCTTTTTGTGTTTATTACCTTGTTCTTTAGTTGATATCAGTTCAGTTATTAGTGTCGTGACATCACATTCAACATCTCACATTTGATACCAGAATTTCATGAAGTTTTAATATCTTTGAACTCAAAAGAAAACATGTTTTTTCAACAAAAAGAAAAAGAACGAAACTCTAAATTCCTTCCTCCACAAATTGAGGAAATAACCAAAATACAATATCTAACTTTAAAACCCGACTCAACTTTCTTAAAAATACCATCCGCAAACAAAATTGATTTTCTTTATAACATTATTTTCTATAAACCATGTTCTATTTTTTATAAAGCCCTTAACGTTTCAACCATAAATAAAAGTTCATTATGTTACTTGCCTCTAATATTCAAAGCATCAATAAAATCAATATCTCCAATATCTACAACACATGAATTTTCGAAACATTAAGATTTTTTAAAAACACTAATTCAAATTCGTATTGTTGTTATGACATGGAAACCTTAATAAGGAATGTGAATATTATTTTCCTCTAGAAAAATTATCTTTTATGGGTTGATTAAAAAGTGACTTTGTCTTGGAGAACACAAAATCTTCTTGGAATTATATGTCTCAAAAGCCATGATTTACAATGAATAATCATAATTCAATCTAAATTATAATTCTCACCAAAAGTAAATTTATGTATTTGGTTGATTTACAACAAAATTTTTAACTATCAGCTATGGGGAAAGGATCTCATGACTTTACGAGTGACTTTTATAAGTTGCTTTCATTATTTAGAGTATGTTTAAATTCATGGTACAAGCTAGGTAATAACCTAGCTAGGTTAAAAAAAAGTTATTCAATTCAATTTTATTTTTATTTCATTCTAAATTATATCATCAATTAGAAATTAGAACACTCATTAATACTTATAGTTTTGCTACTACACTTAGATTCTGAAAGAATTTTTTTTTTTAAATAGGTATAATTTTATATAATCGTTATCCAAAAACTTTAAAAAGTAAACAAGAACAAGTGCGTCAATCCATGTATTCTTGAATACTTAAAAATAGATGTTTTAATCTCCACACAATTTTAAAAAATTGATCATGCCCAAAAGTATTGTTCTGAAGGGAAAAACGCGTTTTTCTCTAGCCGCCCATCTAGATGTAGAAAAACCCGTGTTTTTACCTACCAGAACAATACGTTAAAACAAGATCGATTTTTAAGAAACCGTGCGGAAAAAAACTAATTTAAATTAAATCTAGTTACTTGACCTTCCTTTTGCCCATAAGCCCAAGAACTTCATCCCAAAGCCCAACAATTCCAACATTCCCCAAATCAACAACACTTGGACTACAAGCAGCCACGGTCCAATAACCAGCCCTAATTTCATCTTTCAATTGTTCTTTCTCCCACCCACAATATCCATCAAAGAATCTAAAATCACCAACCTCAACCAGATTCCTCTTCACCATTTCAGAACCACACCCCACACTTTCCTTTGTACCATAATACAAACCCTTCATTACTTCATCAAAAACACCACTTATTCTCACCACACCATCATCTTTAGGACTCACCAAAAACAACCCTTCTTCTAAAGGTCCTCCAAAATACAAAGGACTATTAGAAAATGTTCCCATTACATCAAATGCTGTTGATCTTGTTTCTTTAATAGACATCAATGATGGTCTATTGAGTATGATCCCCGACGGGCCTATTGGGCCGTTTGATAAAAGAAGGATCACCGTTCGTTCGAAAATGTGGACCCCGTCGAGCTTTTCCGTTGCGATTAACAAACAGCCTCTTTCGGGCTCATGGATTATATGGGCCCATTTGTCACCGATTGTGATTAGTGATGGTTGATCCATAACAGTGTCCGGATTAGTCACTGATGAAAGTAACTCCGGGTTTAGTAATTGTTCTCCGGCCACCAATTTTGCCCGGAAAGTTCGCCAATCGGTATTAACGGTTGGTTTGTCATCGTCTAACGGCGATGATGATGATGACATGTGGCAACCTGTGATTAGATCACAAATTTTCATAATTAGAATCTGAGATTAACTTTGGTATACAAGTTTTATATTATCTAGAAATCACAATGAATGGTATATTTGACTATACAATATCTCACAATATCAAAGATTATGATTGATCATAGTATGGCACACGGGCATGTCCTCCCTAATTGCAGCTATATCTAACTACAACTTTTTACAGTATCAAAGATTATGATCTGATTTTTCCTGCTAAAACTTTGATCTTAGTGAAACTAGGAGAGACAGAGAGAAGAGAAGAACTTACATGATACATGAAATGGACTTGCAACTTTTCTTGAATTGAATTGTTGAGAAGATCTTTTGGAGTATGTTAGAGATCCAGCTCTGATTTTGGTGAAGGAAGTTTGGGAGAGAAAACAAGCATCCATGTTATTTGAGTAATATTTTTTTGTTTAGATGAGTGTGAGTTAGGTGGAATATGTATATTGTATAAATTGAAAAGGTGGTTTCATATGCACCACATACAAGTGTTGTGTTCTATATCTTCATTTTATCCAAAGTTGAATGTGTTTGAAAATAGTATGGGATAATGGATATGCTTTGACACATGGCAAATAAGACAGGTGCCACACGGAACTTTTTATGTGTTGAATACATCATGACCTTCTTAGGTTAAGGTAATGATTTACTAAACACAAATTTTAATCTTAATTTTTATCAAGATACAACAACTTTTCTTTTTTACCTTAATAGTAACTTTTAAATAAATTCACTTCTGCAATGGAACAGGAACATTGATCTTCTTAAATACTCCATGTGTTATTTTTTAAAATTCTGTTGATTTTCTATTATTGATCTCAAAGTTATCCCAACTATTTATGGCGAAGAGAAAAACAAGTGAACATAGATGATAAATAAAGAATATTATACCAAAAGACAAACAATTTCTTCAAAAGCAACCAAACTTATTGGTGTTCTTAGTTGAGTAAAATAACCTTCAAACAACAACTAAAAAAGAGAAGAAAAAAATGTAGTAATGCATATGTATACAGTTTTACCAAAACACAGTAGGGGCTCAAGCCCTGGACAAGTAGTTGTAGAAATAGTCTTATTCTCAAGTAAAAAATGCGCTGACTTGATCGCCAACATTCACCAGTATGCATATTTACAGCAGTGCTTCATTTTAGAACAAGTGGCTGACAATAATCATCTTTGAGAATTCTCTCTTTGCAAAATATCCCCTTTCATTGACTTTCAAACGTGCTCCTACCAGCATTACAAGGATTGCAGGATGCCTGTACTGATAGCATAGGTTCTGCTATTCCACCACGGTCGCTGAATACCACATTTGTTTTGCAATACCGATTTCTTGACATTTAGTAAACCAGCATTGTGCATAACTACATTATGGTATTCATTTTTCGAACTTTAGGTATCATTTAAGCTGTACGTAACGTAGTGATGTAATCAAATCATAGTCATCTATGATATCCCAGGAACATATTCAACTTGCCTTAGGTCCTCTACCAATCTATCAATCATATTATATATATCAGCTGATTTAGGGTGTGACTGATCAAGTACAGTAAATTCATGTACTTCTTCTTCAACTTCAATGGAACTAACCCCGGAAGGCTTTTGACCTCCTTTCATCTTCATATGCAACCTCACGTTGCCAACATTAATCCAATCACCGGCTTGAGCATAAATATTTGACAGAAGCGAGAAATTCCCAGGATCTGATGGCACCAATTTAAACAGATGTTCACATACAGCTCTTGCGAGTTCAATTTCATTATGCATCCGACAACCACCTAAAAGAGTACCCAATATAATGTCATTCGGTTCCATAGGCATGCTGCGCAGAAGCCTAAAAGCTTCTCTTAGATGACCACCTCGGCTGAGAAGGTCAATCATGCAACCGTAATGCTTAATGTCGGGAACAATCCCATATACTCTCTCCATTGAATAAAAGTAAGTACGCCCTTCATTAACAAGGCCTGCATGGGTGCAAGCACATAAAAGGCCAATGAATGTATATCTATCGGGCTCAAAACCTTCGCGTACCATCCTAGAGAAAAGTTCAATTGCTTTGTCACCGTGTCCATGTATGCCAAACCCATGTATCATGGAATTCCAAGACACCAAATCTTTCTTCGCATTCATTCCACTAAAGACACGAAATGCGTCATCCAAACAACCACACTTTGCATACATATCAATGAAGGAATTCAAAACCTTAGTGCTACATCTAAACCTACGCCTCAAAACTGAATCATGAATTTTCTTCCCCAACTTAAGTATACCAGACTCGGCACACGCAGATAAAATACTTATCAAAAACCCATCATCAGGCCTCAATCCAGCCTCCTCCATTTCATCATACAACTTAGTCACCTCCCTCAGCTCCCCCTTCACAACATACCCAGACATTATCGTCGTCCACAACACCAAATTCTTCACAGGACACCTATCAAACAACATCCTCGCCATTTCCATATCACCACTTTTACAATAACCATAAACCATCGTAGACCAAGAAACAACATCCCTCTCACCCATTCTCCCAAACAATTCAAAAGCCTTCTCCAATTCACCCGCTTTCACAAACGTATCCAACATCGTATTCCAACTAACCCTATCTCTCTGCGGCATTTCATCAAACACCTTCAAAGCACCATCAAAATCACCACATTTAACCAACCCACCAACCATAGTATTCCAACTCACAACATCCTTTTCCTCCATCACCTCAAACAACTTCACCCCCATCTCAACACCCCCACACCTACAATAACAATCAATCAAAGAATTCGGCACAAAAATATCCCCATAAAAACCCAATTTTTCAACATGGGCATGAACCATTTTAACCAAATTCAACCAAGAACCACCATTACAACCTTTCAAAAGAAAAGGGTAAGTAAAATTATCCGCCAAAACACCATTCAACTGCATCTTCTCAAAAGCAGCAAACGCAAGCGAACTGTTTGATTCATTGTTTGAGAGAGCATGTGCTCTGATAAGATAATTATAAAGATGAACATTAGGGTCAGGGACTTGGTTAAAGACGTTAACAGCAGAAGAGATATGGTTGGTGAGTGAATAAGAAGCGATGAGTTTGGGAGCGATGTAAGGGTCTTGGTGAAGATGACATTTGATGAGCTGTGCGTGGATTTGTTTGATGAGATTGAGGTTTGTGCATTTGTGAAGGTCGGTGATGTTGTCTTCTAGGTGTCTACGAAGAGAGAACCATGTGAAAGCTCGAACTCCTGATGTTATTGGCATTGTTCTCATGTGTGTTGTTGTTGGTTAGAGACAAGTTTTCATAGGATTGAGAATGGTTTGAAATAGGGTTTTGTGAAGTTTTGATTTGTGAAAACAAAGGAGAAGAAACAACTTGGTTATCCTTTTTGAATATCTTGTAATAATTAAATTCGCACGGGTATATTAGAATTTTTTTTTTTTTTGTAATAGTTGATAATTAAATATTTATAACAATGACAATACATTATTTTGGTGTAGTATATATATTTTTTTTTAAATAAATTTTTTTTTAAGTGTTATTAATTTTTTCTCAAACTATCCTAATAACTAAGTATGACTCAATAAATAAAAAAACTATTTCTACAATTTGTATACCGTTTTTTAACATAGCAGAAAAAAAAAGTTACTAAATTGGTTAAACAATTGATAAGAGAAATTATTCATTTAGAAACTTTGGTGAATCTATTATCTATTATTTTAGAAATTTTGATATTTTGTAAGTTTTCATTTATTCTTTTATCTCTATTAAATTTAAGTGATTCTTAATTCTAATGATAATGTGTTTTTATTATTTTTTCTAATTAAAACTTGAAATTTTACTCTTCTAATTAATTTTTTTTTTGTTTTTTTTTGCGCCACACAATTCTTGGAATCATTTCATAGAAATAAGGAGAGAAATTGGACGTGTGTTGGTTGTTAGTGTTTGTTTATCTATGGTTTCTTTTCTGTTTATAATACACTAACACCACATAACATGTTCTTGGAATGAATAACCATTACCAAAAAATGATAGTGAATTTTATATTATACATATGTGGTTGACACAATTGAATCACTAAATTAATGAATACTAATTTTTTCTTTCTATTTTAGAGGTTTATTCATATATCCCTTTTTTAATGCAATGTCTATTGAAATATAATTAGTGATTTACGGTATAGTTTTGATTTTAATCTTTAAATTTTAATATTCATAAGTTACATCCATTTATATATTTCTAATGAATAATGAACTGCGTGTTTCAAAGTGTATGAATCTTTTGATCAAAATTTGACGATAAATATGACACATTAAAATCTATTTTAAAATTTATGATGCTCTCTACCATCATTCATTTGGTGAAGAAAAATGAAGGAAAGCATCCCCTCGCAATATGGTAATTGTTTCTTCCTCTATTTTTACTTAATTTTTATTTTTAGTTTCAATGTGCTTCAATATTCTAGAAATTTAAGTAGAGTATAAAAGAGATTAGAAAAAGGCTATCTGAGAATGATTTATATACATTTTATTACCATTACCTTTGTGCAGGTCTGTTTTACTTGCTTATGCACAGAGGAACTTAATATATGATGTGCATTAAGGATATGGTCATAATCCTGAATCAACACGTGTGGATTATATAGTCAAGTTTAATGTGACCATGCCTATTATGAGTTTTAGTAGAATAAGTGATATTCTTCTTCATGGCAAACATATTGTTCAGGTTTATCGCTCAAACACATATATTAGATTCCAATGTTCATATTATGAGTGTCTTTTCTTATGCCAAATAATTTTTTAAAAGTCATTACTATTTTACTCTAAGATTTTATATTACTTATTACTCTTTTTTTTCTTAAACAAATTCATGTAGTTTTTAATTACTTCAATCTTATGTCCCATATACTCTGGTTATACATGAAGTTAATGATCATCTTCTTGTTCACCATGTAGGAATTTGGATAAGTTTCTTATTTATATGTTTATAATAACTTCTAAAGAAAGTGATCTTGATACCCTTAAAGTTGTGTGTGCTAATGATTACTATGTCAACATATTTCAGGTATGTCCTATAATATGCGTTATAAAAAGTTATTGTTTGTGGTTGTTTCTATCAATTGCAATGTTATAGGAGCTTTGTGGTTGTTTCTATAATCGAAGGGTCAGGGCACTTCTTCCATCAAGACACAGTTGATCAGGCTAACAAACACGCAAACATGTGGCTGATCATGTTAAATTATATAAATAGATTATTGGTGGTTTGTAAGCATGTTTTGTATTGAAATGTTCCAAATTTTTTCTTGTAAGTATGTTGTAGTGCTGTTTTATATTTGTATTTAATTTATTTAAAATTTTAATATAACAATCTATTGCTAATATAATTGAATAGTTACTTAGTGTTTTACAAGTTTAATTTTGTAACACAAATTTTATTTATCTTTAAAAAGGTTGGACCATTGGCGATAGATTAATATAAACTATTAAAGATTATTTTTACTCAATATTTTAATTTTTTTCTTTCAGTTTTTAATATAATGAATATTTTTTATTTATATCTATAATCTATAACAATATATAAAAATAATACATTGTTTTGGTGTAGCTTGTTTTTCTTTCAATTTTACCCATAAAATAATAATTTTATTCCACTTTACACTTTTCATAATAACCAAATGGATGGATAGTTAAAAAAAACTGCTACTATCTCACATTTTAATTTGTTTTTTTTGTCTTAATTATTTTCAAAAAAAAATTTGCAATAACAATAGGCCATGGAAAATGTACAGAATAACAAAAACTGTTATATGGTTGTGTCAAAATAATTAACTTCCCATTTCTATTTAATACAATAAAAAAAATAGAATTAAAATAAAGAAATTATAGATATTTAACTTCTCTCTCATTTAACATGATCATCAATAAATATTTATCAAGAACAAATAAAATGTAAAAATAGAAATGAGAAAAGAGAGAAAGACTACAAAGCAAATTGTGGAGAGGAGGACATCAGAAACCACAATTGATCTTTGGTAAGTTTGTAACGGTCAAAGTTTATCTAATTTTTCCCTAATTTAACTTTAATTTTATGTAATTTTAATTTCTCTTACTTAATAGTTATCTCATGTAACACGGTAAAATCGAAAAATATACGGAGAGATTCAATTGGGTGAAGTCAAAAGAAAGATGTCGAATTATTTGGTAAGAAAAATCATCCAACTTATCTTTTTCTTTTTTATCTAGATTTTATTATTATTTTTTGTGGAATTTTTCTTCAAAACGCATTTCTTTAGAACAAATATATAAAATGATAATTTTTGTTCGAGGAAAAATAAAATACTTAGGATTGATATTTTTATATATTTACAACTTCATTGTTTGTCGATCATGTAAAATAAAATGATGGATGTTGTACAAATAAAAATGTGCAAAATTCTTTAAAAGAACACATTATTCTATCTAACTCCTTAATTTTATAAATATTTATTAAACAAAATATAAATGTATATTACATGTTTTATCATATAAATAATTAAAATTGAACAAAAAATAATGTTTATAATTTAAAAAAAAATGGACAATAGATTATAATCTATACAATATAAAAAGGGAATACTTTATTTTAGTATGACCTATTTTTCTACCATTTTTATCCTTATTTTATTGTATAATTTACTTAATAACTTCATATTATTAACTTCCACATAACTTATTATTATTAACTTTCACATAACTTCTTATTATTAACTTCCACATATTGTATTTTTTTATAAATTATTTTAACAAAAAATATCGTTTACATTTTTATTTGTATTAAAAAAGCGGACAGGCGGGCACGCGAGTGTCCGTCTGGACGCTAGTAACACATAAATACAAAACTTATTTTTGGTATAATCTATTTTCTTTTTCTATAATGTGGTATTTGTAACCACCAAAATATTTCACTCACATTATTGATTTGTTTAAAAAAATTGGTTGAATATAGTCACGTCACAATGCGAGTTTCTGAATTCAAACAAAATTTAATGCGTAAATATTACATATTGCAAATAAAATTTAATATGAATATGAATAAATAAAATAAAAATATTTAAAAAAAAATTATTGTGAATTATTGAAAAATGGAAAAAGTGATCAGTCACTTTCTTAAATTAGTTTAATTTTGTTGTTAATTTTTATTTACGATTTTTATTTTTGATGTTAAACAGAGTTGCACAATAAATGTCATATTACTTACAAATTTAATTTGAAAATAATTTAACTTTTAATTAATTAAATAAATAGCATTTTAAAATTTCTTACAAACATAAGGATGCATATCAGAAAATTTAGTATTCAAATAATTTAAATTTAAATCAAACTTAAATAAAAAAATATTCATTTATATTTTGACGTGCATGCTCATTAAAAAAACGGACAAGCACGAGAAGAGTCGTGTGTGGAGCATACATGTTCGCAGGGGATGTATGTGTTCTTTAGTTTACTCTACATACTCATCTCTAAATACTTTCATCAAATGTATAAGAGAGAGGGGGCGGGGGAGAAAGAGAAATGCATATTACAAAGTTTACTATACAAATAATTTAAATTAAAATCAAAATTAAATAAAAAATATCCGTTTGTATTTTGATGCGCGTGCACATTAAAAAAAGCGGACAAATGGGCACGAGAGTGCCCGTTTGGGCGCTAGTTGAATTTAATTGAAATGCATCGACAATGTAAAAGGATTTTACATTGTGAGTTAATAATAATTATTGGATGTTAAAAAGTTTGACTTTTATTTTAATCATTAATAAAGTAATACCAACAGATGATGGTGATGAACAGACAGAGTAAAACTTTTTACATGTAAAATATTTATGTGCATATAAAATGATTTTGTAGGCCATTTAAATTATATAAATTATTTACTGTGAAAGACAGTAAATTAGAAAACAATTTACTATGCTATTTAAAAATATATAAACTGAAAGAAATATTAATTAACTAAACAATATTATTAAAAATTTCTTTGTAAAGTATATTTGATGTTGTATCTATATCTTCACATTCATAATTAGTAACCAATATTTTCAACATTTTCCTTGAAGTAACCCTTGATATGACAACATATAGTTGTTCATGCAAGAAAATTGGTTGTGGTAGATATACTCCTACATATTTGAGTGATTATCCTTGACTTTTATTGATAGTCATTGCAAATGAAACAACCAAAGGAAATTGACATCGTTGAAATTTGAAAGGATTCTTTTATCAGAAGGAGTCAATGATAA